CTATGTGTTCTGTGCTTTCAGCTAATGTCTTAATTTTTTGTTTCTGTGCCTTCACTGATATACAGGGTTTGCTTCGTTCCACTTGATTTGGAGGCAGCCAAAACTTCGATTTATCCAGGTTCTTTGATCTTTTTCTTAGTCCGTTTTCTCTTCTTTGATTATGCTGTCGAATTGTGCCTCATAATCTTGAGTTACAACAAAAACCTCAAGATGGCCACTGTCTGCCCTCCACGGTCTGCTCAGTCCCATATCCACATGGATGTTGTATAAGTACTTATACGATGATATACATGTGACCCCCTTCGGACTGATGTACATTTCTACTCACTTTGTTTCATCCTTCTATCGACCACAACATTTGGATTGCACGGTGTCATAACATCGAATCTCCTAACCTAAAAAGCCCAAGATTTTCTTCAGCTACTCCAAATATATTTACGGAGTACTTTTTTACTCGAATTATATTCTAATTACTCCTATTCGTGAAAATTGTTGATGTTCCAGGTAATTGCCATTCGAGTCTGGAGAGGAAAATTGGATCTCAATTAGTTCGGACATGGTGCAATCGGTTGATTTTCTAAGAATTTCAGAGTAATTTTGTTCATTTTCTTTAACCTCTTTTACACTTTGTCTCTGTAAAGTGTTGGATTTGGTAGGAGTGTTTATTATATTAATAGTGATATTCAGAGTCTAGGCATGGCGCCCATCATCAGGGGTTCAATTAGAAAAAAAAGAGGATTGTATTCCAGTCCAAAATCTAACGTGTAAGGCAGGTAGTTGCTGTATGATCAAGGTTCCGGCTCTTGCAACTGTGGGATGCTTCTAACATGCTGTTGATTGACGAGGAGGTAGTAGTATGTTTTATTTGGGATACTGCTTTGGTGACCGACCAGCTCTCCGCAGAGGTGAAGGGAGTACTCGCAAGAAGGGAACTTCAAGAGGCGGTGGAACCCATAGTTGTGAAAAGCGCACCTGAGGCGCGATGCACACGAAGCACAGGGTCTGTGCATCAAGCTTTGTGATGCGGGCGACACACAGGAGGCGCGCGCATAACTGTGCATCATCGCATCATGCGGTGCGATCTGAGGCGCTACAAGGCGCGCATCACTTACACATCTTTAGATTTTAATTTTTTAAATTTTTTTAAATTTTTTATCAATTAGTGATAATTGGTTGCTGTCGGAAAGATGTCGCCTAGAGTAATTGACCGCTGGTCGAAGTAGACGATGTTTTTTCAGGAGCCGACCCGATAAGAGCGACCCAAATTTCATTTATTTTTTTAAAAAACCCTAGAACTCCATCACTTGTCGACTTGGACTGTGTTGAAGTCACAGTCCAGATCTGAAGCCCCTCTTTATTTATTTATTCTTTATTTTAAACTTCAATTGCTTTTGATTTTTGTATGCGCTTGACATTTGTGAAAAAAACTGAAAATAAACTTACTATTTATTTCAGTTTTTTATTTATCTTGCAATTTTGCTTTGAAACTAAATATACTATATATTTGTTGGGTTTGAAAATAAAATTGATGTAGTATACTAGTATTTGAGGTTTGAGAAAAAGTTTAGTAAGTTAGTAGCTCTTTTTATTATTTGTTTTCACAATATTTATTTCAGTTTTTTGTGAGGTTTCCCCCCCTTTCACCTTTTTTTTTGTATTTATTTGGGATACTGCTTTGATGACC